CTCTCTCTCTCTCTCTCTCTCTCTCTCTCTCTCTCTCGGCAAATGGGAAAGAAGGTATTGGTGAACATCCCTATCATGCCTAATTAGATTGCCATAGAGTGTGTGAGTATGTCACCATTAAAAAACAATTCTATCAGAAGCTCACTAAAGCAAATTTCATCCATCAAAAATGTTTTGAATGTTTATTAAAAAATGTTGAATACTATAAATAGCACTTGCAACATAAGTCACTCATCCTAGAGGGCATAAAAATCTATTCTTATTCAGTATACAAAAATTACTGTTTTCTTAGGAAAAAAAGTAAGATATGGTGAAAAAAAAAAAAAGAAGAACATAAACATGTCTTAAGTTATTGCAACTAATGACATATATTTATTCCAGGTTATTTCACTGCAATTCAAATAAGTTTTTATTTATGGTTGAAAACAACAGTACATTTCAAACATCATTACCTTCTGTCTGTTTGTAGAAAATAGAATCACTGCCACATTTGCTTCCTTCATTTTCTGAGGTTCCTTCACAAAAATGTCCTGCTTTTGGATGGAAAAAAAAAATTACTTTCCAAAGTCATCATACATAACATCTAGATAAAAGGGTTTTCTTTAGAATGGGCAGTAATTTCCAAACCATGATTCCAGATGTGTTACACTTCACCTCCTATAATTCCCAGCTAGTATGATTATCTGGCAATTCTGGAAACTGAATGCTAATACACCTGGAAAATGTCTAGTTGGGAAAGGCTGCTGTAATTGCAGTACTAGCTTAAGGGATGGCATTAAAGCATCTTCAAGAAAATGGTATAAATCACTATTATTTTCTTCAAAAATATACTGTAGCTATGAATAATCTCAACACTGGATCCATCACGATTCAAACATAGTTGACTAAAGTAAAAGACAGACCATGAAGAAAAAGGGATTGCACAAAAATGCTCAACATAGTGAATTTTAAAGGGCATCATTTCATGTAAAAACAGATGTTTAAGCACTCTTCTTCTGTGCCAAATGGAACAGGAAAACTATATTATTATTATCTTATTCTGGGAAGAATTAAAAAAGGAATCAGGTCAGGAGTTGGCACTAATAAAAAGAGAAGAGTTATATATGTAAAACAAGCTTTCTCACACAAGTCAGAAAACTAAATGGTGCCTTATCTGCATGGATAAAAAAGCCATGTTTCATGGGCACATCAGCTAAATTACTCAAAATGTCTCCAACATATTTGATGAGAAAGGGAAGTACATATTGCAACCAAAATACAATCTTGCTTAGCTCTTGGTTCATTTTTCCTTCTTCCTTCCCATGTTTCTTAAAATGGCCAATGAGACCTTTTCTAGCTTGCAGCTTTTTACCCAAAACATTGTTGCAGACAGTGTCTGAATTGCAACCATTTGTGAAGTCTGCCAACACAAATTACCTCACCTTTGAGTTTCATGAATGGAAAAAAGCCCATAAAAAAGGCCAAAAGCAAGCATTACTGGTGATAAATCCTGAGAACCGATTAGAATAGCAATTATTTAAAAAAATAATACATTTTCTATTCTGTAGAGCCATTAATTTACGTCAATGAGTACAACAGTGCATATATGTCCACATACACTATGTATATCTGTTTGTGTATGTATGTGACAACAGAATTCTATTCTGTACCATAACTAAAATACTTTAAAATTAGAACTTTAAACTGTTAGGACATGTTTAAGAACAAGGCATCTCTAAGAACTGAACACGAATTTCTATATTTATTGTATCTTGCACTTCCAGATGAATGATATTTGCATGATGCCACAAAATGCCAAGCTATTCATGGCTGACGTACAAGTCATCTGCATATCTCCCATCTCTCCTCTTCCTGAGATGCAGTAATAATACTTTGATCACTTGCACCGTATGTAACACTTAAGCAACTTTTGTCCCACATCTGTATGAGTATTCTTGGTACAGAAATGCTTATCTCTGTTATTTTTCTCTCTACCTAGTATGTCAGAGCATGTTCCAGTTTCCAGGCGATGTTTTCTATATAAATTCTTCAGAACTTTAGCACTTCCAAAACGCTTGAAGCGACTTTTCACATTATTGTAATACCATTCCAGGGATTGAGCTCTTAGAAGTCTGGAGGAAAAAAGAACGAAATTTCAGAAACCTTAGAAATACTAAAATAAATGTACCAGGGTAGCAATTCTTTTAAAACAATTTGTATTTTTGAATATTTTCAGGAAGGCTCTATTTGGTTGAAAGTAAATAGGGGAAAAGACACAACATCTAATTTTGTGGTTTGCTTCCCTGTAGTTCTCCTAATTTTCAGGCTGAATATATTTTGGTGGTTATATAGACAACATTATAGTTTTAACACACAAGCAATTAATTGTCATTACTGAAGTTCTAGGAAATCATTTAGAACAGAACAGATGTTAAAATTCTTATATCCTTACATGAAATTACATGGGACAAGATGGAAAAACTGCAGCCTGGGAATGCAAATGCTATTTGGAGGGGGAAAACAGTAAATACAATTTACTATCTCATAAATTTGTGTAGAAAGACTTTAAAGAGTAATGGTGAAACTGCTGGCTCACCCTCCTCCTTTTGCAGTGAATAGTAAGAACAGAAGTCCCTTCACTAACTGTAGAGATGATATTTACAGGTTTTTAAAATTTATGGTGGTATCTTGCATGGAATTGGGTGCAAAGGGTACAAAGACCAGAGGTGAAATTGACATGCCTAAATTAATAAGAGCTCTTCATCTTAATGATGGAATTGATAAGAGATCTTCTGATCCTTTCTTAATTACACCACAAGTATGATGGCCTACTCATATCTATTTCAGTTCTGTTTTGAACTTGTGTACAAGGATCTTCTCCAGCCTGGTGCTTGCAGATGCATTGGGACTAGAACGCCCAGAATTCTCAGGCAATGAATGGTATCTAGGAATTCTCAGCATTTCAATATCTCTATAGGGCATCATCACACTAGAGAAGACTAGACTAGATTGAATTGTCCACTGAACAATTATTGAATGGGGGGTGGGAGTGGGGGGTGGGGGAAATCTAACGGGAATGAAGATAGTTTTATGTGATAAGGGAAAACCATGGGCAGATATGTATACACATAATCTGTAGTCATTCAATAAAAGGGGCAAGATTTGTACATCTTTAGATCTAGTTCAAATACGATCAATTTATTAACAGTACCTGCCACTAGGGAAATATGATGGAGGTTCACTCATTGCTTGTTCCTGGTGTAAAGAAAATGTCTGCTTTAGAATATTTAACAGCAATGCAAATTTCTTCCTTCCTTTATCAACAGATCCATGGATCTGAGAGCAAGACATATATCAGCCTCCTGATACAGCAATTCATGGCATAAAGTAGCAATCATATTATTCAAATGATACAAAACATGTTTTTTCCCCAAGATTATTTTTTTATATAGGAAAAAATAGCTTATGAAATAGACAGTGGAAAAGAATTATCTTCATCTAACAAAAAGTTGCCTAAAGCAATAACTTTCATATTCTGATACATGACATCTCAACCATAGATTATGAATACATCTTTGCATCAAAACCATATTTTATGTAATTATATCAAAAATCCCAAATTATGGCAGATGATGAGGAAATTGATAAAATAATCTTGCATGGGATAGGACAGCTGGGCTCTTCCAAAGGAAAAATATCACCATATATCCTTAGATATATATTTAGACATTAAATCCTGCATCTTCATTTTTGTATTAACTCCACTTTCACCATGATGGATACTGTGGCCTCAGTGAACATCCTAATATAATTTCTGGACAAAACAAGATCTGTGAGGAACAACAAGCTCTTAGAATAAAGACATACATAAGTAACAGGTTTGCTCCAGAATAGCATTAACTGTATTCAATCCAAACAGAATGGTACCTTTCATCCTACCAAAATTTTAGGATTTATATTTTAATACAGGATGGTATGCAATCACATGACACCAAAACTCCATCTGCCTGAATTATAGAACTCTCTAGGCTACAACTGTTCTACAATAAGGTTTATGTAGTTTACACAGTTTGTAACTATAGGTTAAACCATATATGCAGAATATGATCAAGAAATTAAATGATTTTTAAAATATATATGAATTTTACATATAGGAAACTCCTCTAGCCCCAAGGACAGTAAGTGAATGCATAGTCAAGAACAAAACAACACACAAAGCAGACTGTTCAAGAAAGTGAAGAACACAGACCTTTATTTTCTCTTATATTCATGAACACACACAAACATACATATGCATACACATTCATAAAAAACTTTCATTTTTTCCTTATCTTGTATATTATTACTTTCAGCTTACTTCTCAGTTTTAAGTTGGCTAACTAACTGCAGTGCATTCTACATAGGCCCTTGTTCTGATACATATTTTCAGATACATTTCATTATGTTTCTGGTAAATGTTCAAACCAATCAGATATTTTGCCTATATGTTAATTTATAGAATTCTCTATTCTCCATGCATTCCTGAACTTTCTCCTTGCATTTTGCATGGACAATTCTATTCTCCATGCATTCCTGAATTATAATGACTCTTCTAAAGCTATTCAGCCTGTTATCACTCTGAGAAGTCACAATGTTCTTCTTGCATAAGAGATATGAAGGGAAGGAAGAACACCTATCCCTATTGCAGATATTGCAATAAATCATCCATTCAAAAAGGAAAGGACACAATCTAGTTATTGCAGAATCTTTAATGTTGATCTACAGTTCCAAAACCATAGATAATATATTCTGCAAATGCAATCTCTTTCTGTATTTTGATTTTTAAAAAACCCTTCCATTTCAAAAACTCTATGTGGAAGTGCTTCTTTTCATTTAATAATATCACAGTCTGTGGTAATTCTTTCTATAAAGTACAGTACCAACTCTCATTTAACCATACTCATTTTAAAAGGAAAGAAATGGCAACAGCTTTTTGTCTTCTTCTGATACAAAGACATCAATATTAATTGTTCAAAGCCCTAAATTCCAAAATAGATTGTTTTACATAAAATTACCTTTTCAGTTAAATTCAATTACTAAATGGTTTTTAAAATAAATATTTTGATTGTTTATAGGGATTATGTGTGATGCAATGTGTCAGTATGTGGGCACTACAAAAATGGATAGTATATTGAAAAGATTTCATTAATGAAGCACGGGCAAAAAGATAAGCAGAAATAATGCGATCATACAGAGAAATTGAGACAAAACAGTATGTTACTAACCTTAATTTCTAGATGGCTCCTAAAAAGAGTGGCTAAAAAGGTAAGATGTGGTTCAGAAATTTAGAGTTGCTTCCACAAAATCTTTTACTTTTAAATTTCTATTGGTTTTATCTATACTTTATTTAACCTCATTATATTTATTCAATTTATTATAGCTACCCCAAAAGACTCTGGGTGGCTATGACATCATTGTTAGCTCACTGCATTCTAGTGTTTTCTGCCTTCTAGATCTGATGTGGGAGGTTCAGAGAAAATGTCATTGCAACATCACTCATTAAAGTATTTGAGCTTTAAAGGACTTCTGAATCCTTACTTAAATATTCACTATTTAAGCTTTATTATCGCCTTTTGTTACCAACTGGAATGGAATGGAATCTCAAACATAAAGAGACACATCCCCAAATTTAAGAGATATTTTGACATCTAGCTTCAAACGTTGTCTCAAGTTTGAGAAAACATGGACAGCAAAGACCAAAAACCTGCCATGCTAGAAGAGGTATCAAGAAGCCACTGGATAAAACAGTTGTATCCCAACATGCTTATCTACTGCTAAGGGAAAGAAAATACACACACAAACATAAGAAATGTAAATATGACTTGTCAGAGATCTAAGATGAGGAGGCAATTATATTCTATTGGCAGTTGTCTTCTTCCATGCTTCCCCAGAAGTAGAGAGACATACTTTGTATGGACAGTACAAACAACACACATTTAAACCAATCCACTTCAACTTAAGTAGCAATGAGTGCAAGATTTCTAACATTTTTAAGTCACATTTATTAAAGTACACTGTGATGGGCCTCTTTTGGAAATGGTACAGAGTACCAACAAGAAGAGTATGGTTATCTCCCCTGCATTTTCAGAGAGGCTTTTATTATATAAAACATGGGACAAACTTATTAACTTCTAACTTAATGCTACTAAATACTATGCTTGTACCAATGTCTGTGCCTTATGTGTGTATCTAACTCCTAAAAAGCCCTATAAACAGTTCTTTTGTCCTTTTTCACCTGAGCTATAACAAAGTCTTTAGCCACAATTTTGCCGTCTTGAAGTTAGTTGGCTTCTGTTGCTGCCAGCTACTGTACACTGGACCACCTGGAGTCACTGTGTGCAAGTTGGGTGGCCATATAAATTTGTTAAATACATACATACATACATACATACATACATACATACATACATACTGTTCTTCTGCTGAAGCACTGGCTTTGAGTCTTTTAGTCCATGCTGAGGTAGAGAGTAGGAAGATGCTTCACCAGCTGCTGGCTGCCTATAAGCTGTCAACAGCTCTACTGGAGTGGAGAAGCTGCCAGACTTCACTTCCCCTTTCAGTTCTTCTGCTGATGGCTTGCTGAAATCCACTCCTTCTTCATCGACAGGAACCCACTATATTGCTCTTTATCCTGACAGCTGCTCTAGTCTCTCACTTGCAACTTCCTTCTCTTCTGCTCTCCCACATGAGAGAATCTCCTTCCAACACTCATCCAGATTCATATGCTACTGCATTTCCCTTTTTGTAATTGCAGACCAGGTGTGGTCCACTACTGCTCAGGCTATCTTAAAGTCCCAGGGGTAGGGGGAAATAAACTGAAGGAAATGCTCATACGGACCCCTGCAAGGCTGTCCTTCCATATGCAGAAATTTCATTTCAGTTTCCATATACAGGGGAGTCTATTATTTCACTATTAGACTATTTAGGTGTAAACCATTGGAATAATTTGTTTTTATTTTATTAAATATTGTATGCATTAAGAAATATCTTTATCATATATTTTCTTAGTGACACTACAGATATTTGTTATCTGAGAATCAATTTTTGTGCTACTTTTTTGACTGCACTGTAAAAATGCATACAAAAAGCTGTG